ATGATACAATCGGGGCGATCAACAAAAAGCGTTGCGTTATGCGTTAGGTTGATTTACATTACTACTTATCTTGACCTTCAAGGGCCACGGTTTCTACATTTATTTACACTGTAAACTAAGCAAATATTTTATAGAAATTCATTAAGAAATGCTATTTATTKWGTCTTCATCCAAGTCTGTAAATTACTGATTATTTATTGGAGCGAATTCTCGTTAGACCTTCGCACATTCCAACATTCAAGAACATTTATATTGCTTCGGCTGTTTGTGATGTGCAGCTATCAAACTACTTTTTATTCAGAACGGTTTATTTGAATGACAAAAGTGGCCGAACTTCCTTCAAAAATCCAATGGAATTGTTCTTTTTTTCGTCTTTTGCTATTTTTTCGACGATCTACATCTACATTGATTATTCGTCTTAAGACGTCGTCACTTTAGTAAATACAACTGTTAATTTACTTTTAATGCATCAGAAAAAAAGGTTTGACTCGACATTGAAATTTTATTTCAGGCRCTAACTGTATAATTTTACAACAACTTGCATCTTTCCTTGATTCTTTTAATATGAATAATCCTAAGATAAAACTACATGCGAGTCTACGMATGCACAGTGGGACCCCATGGCGTACACAAGTGCTAGGAACTGTCCCACATGGATCATCAGCATTCCATTTCCTCATATAAATATCAAACCAATCTATATTGTATAAGAGCATTGTGCTTGTTAGTGTCGCGTAACGTTCGTAATCAAATGACGTCCTAAGACGGTCGATAAACGTTTAATTAGCAATCTGCTAACATCTTAGTGAGCGGTGAGTGAGCGGTGAGTGAAGTGTGACACATTTGCATATTCAGTCCCCTCACAACTCGTTTCTACGCTTCGCGTATCCACGGGTTAAAAAAGGGTACATGTTTTGTTATTATGGCAAGAGTACTTTCGTTTTGACTTTCATTTAATAATTTTATATGTTTCTACATATAATTTATTCAAATATTGAATGACATATAAAATCACACAAATATTCAACTGTTTATTGAGCTTTTCGAGCTAGTATGATTATAAAAATGAGCTTAA